TAAATTATAAAAAATAGATATCTTTATATTGTAAAAATAAGTTATTTGTGTAGTATAAAAATAAGTTATTTTTATATTAAATTTAAATAACTATATTTTTTCATATACAAAAGATAAATTCCTTGTAGTGTGTTTTGGAAAGTTATATTAGTAGTTCAAAATAAAATATAATAATTCATTTCAGCCATAGTTTAAGCTAAATTTTTTTCAAACATATAATAATATAAAACTTACCTAATGATTTTATTAATAAGAGATGTGATTAGTATATACAAATAATTTAGGATAAAATTGAAATACTCAAAAAGTTTGGGGACCAACTTATGATGAAGATCATAGCTTGGGGATGAAAATGAAATGATCAATAGTTTTAGGGCTAATTTAGAATAATTGTCATAGTTTAAGGATGAAATTGAAATGTTTAAAAGTTTAAGGATTAATTTGAAATTGAGGTGATAGATTAGGGACATATAATGAAATTAACTCATTAATGTATCATAATTATTTAAATAATTTGACAACCAATTTAATAAGTTATTTTTAGTATTTTTAAACATTTTAACCCAATTATCGGGTTAAAACCGTCAATGCTCGATTTAGATCGAGTTTAGATAAATTAAATTCGGGTTATTTTCGATTCAAATTATTTTTGGTTCAACTGCTTTCAGTTCGAATTATTTTTGGTTGGACTAAAATTCGGGTCGATTTCAGTTCGGTTAGTGTTACTTTCGGTTTAACTAAAACTCGGGTCTATTTCGATTTTTATTTTTGAGGTTTTGGGTAAAATTAGATCATCATGTTCGGGTCTATTTCGGATCTTGGTTCGAATAATTAGATCCGGATTAAATTTGCCAGATCTACTCTTTTGATGACCCTATTCAAGCAGTATAGTCTATATATTTAGAAATAAATCTTAAAAAAAAGTTATAACCATATTTCTATGTTCAACAAGGCAAACAGTCAACCTACAAAAGAAGAAGAAGAAACTGATACATTCAACATTTCAATTACATTTATCTCAAAGTTCATTAATAATATGAAGCAAAAAATCTAGTTGGGTGATCTATGTTCCATGTATTGTTAGCCCTAAAAACCCATTTGTCCCTAAATGTGAGAGGCTTTGGAACACATGGACCCAAATGCCCTAAATCAACCCTCCAACGGACTCTCTAGAAGATTGTTATGAAAATTGTACAAAGGTAAGGCCTCTTCGGCCATCATTGGATAGACCAATTCAGAAGGAAACATATTTGATATTTCAATTTTTTAAAGGTTTAACCATGTGAGAGGTTATTAACTAAAAATGTCGGTGCTTTTAAATTCCCAATTTCTTGAGATATATGACCTTTTAAAAGGTTTTGCATATAGGTGCAATGTAATCAAATTCACCATATTTGGGGTTTTCCTATTGTATGGATTAGAGGTGCACAAAAAATCCGAATATCCGATTTTACATAAAAAATATCCGAAATCGGATTTGGGAAAAACCGGTTTTTTAAACCGGATCGGATATTTTAAAACCGGATAGTATAACCGGTTTGGGAAAAAATTGGACGACCGGATTTTTTACCGTATTTAAAACCGATTTGAAAAAAACCGGATAAAAAACTGGTTTTTTATCCGGAAAAAAATCCGGTCTGGGGTTTAAAAAATTGGATGACCGGATTTTTTACCGGATTAAAAACCGGTTTTTTAATCCGGTAAAAACCGATTTTTTTAAAACCGAAACCGGTTACATCATCCGGACCTCCAAACCGGTTATGATCCGAATCGGTTTTTTTATAAACCGATTTTTTGGTTTGGTGAAAAAACCGGATCGGATTTAAATCCGGCTATGTGCATCTCTAGTATGGATCCATTGATTTTGTTAGAGGGAATGAATGCTTCTTCTAAACCTATCACAAGTCCGAAGGAAGAAGGGATCGAACCAACAAGCATACTGTTCTATAAATCGAGATGTTTGGAGATGAAATCGATCCTCCAAGAACGTATCGATCTGATGAAAGAGATGGAACCAATAAGCAAACTGTTGGGAAAATTCTGAGTTCTTAAACATGTTAATCCACTTAAAGAAGGGGTTGGGCCAAAAAGCATTGTAAGACAAACGCTTCAAATGACCTGAAGTGGAAGGAATCCGGGCAACTAGTTCATTGTTAGACAAATTTCCAATAGCAGATGGAATAAGTCAGGTAAAGTTATTTGAACTCAAACTTAAAAGAACCGGATTCTTCACATTTCCAAGTTTTAGGGAATATGAATGAGAGAACTCCTCGTCTTTTATAGGCCTTCCATGTCGAGACTGATGGTATCTATGCAATGTAAATGTTTGTACTTTTGCATCACATACATGACCGAAATCATCTGCTGTTGCTCGAGCGGCTTCTGTTTTACATTCACTGGACCACAATTGTTGACGTGCAAAGTTTTCCCATAACAACTTCGGCTGATTGCACCAAAAGCATTTCCCTTGCCTTGTAATTCTGCACATATCAAAACCAAGATACTCTTGTTGTTGTGCAATATTTAACATATATTATCGAGTTAGAATGATCAAACAGAAAGTTTTTGTTACTTCATTTCATGATTACGTGATAGAAATCGAACTAAACGCATATCCTGTACTCTCTCTAAGGCAAATGATGTTAGCTTTTGAGATTAACTTAAATATTGTAGCAATCCAGATGTAACTTTAAAAGCATGATTTACAACCGTTACTTGAGGATTTCACTGTTTGACTCTTTATAAAAATAAAACATGTCACAAAAAGACATTTTATTTCCCTTTTTCTCTCTTCATTTTCGATTTGTTCACCTACTACTAGACCAATCCATCTCCAGAGCAAGCAGACTTCGTTCATCTTTACTTCTCTTCTCCGTACGGGCGTGTTTCTTTTGCAGCAACTTCAATTTATTTAATGAGTATTATGCATACACAGTACAAATATTCATAGATTGGTATCAATATCACCCGCTTAAAACACTTAATTTGTGTATATAATCCTTCAATTTTGTGAAATTTTTGTTATGATCTCTCAACTTGCTATATTTATATATGATTTATGTCGATAACTTCAAGTATTGAAAACTTTACTAATTAATCTCTAAATCATAATATTAATTAATTGATTATCCTATAATCCAGTTAGGACTAAGAAAATTATCGATATTATTATGATCAATTAACGTGACTTCATCGATCTGGTTCACAACAAGACTGAATTAAGAATGTGATTGTTTTTGGTGTTAAGCATGTTTTAATGATCTTGGTGATGTTTCTTTTAAATATTAAAATGATATTAAATGACGCTTTAGTAATCCCCTAAGCCCTACGAATCATGTAGGACTCCAAAACAAGTGATTAGAGATATTATGGATTGATTTTTCCTAACTTTATTTTAAGTTTTTTAGATTGTAGTATAAATATTATTTTACAGCATCGACATCATATGAATTTAAATTTTGAAAAACTTAATTTTAAAGGGGTGATACTGATATTGATTCATGCAATATTAATATTGTATGAATGCTCCCTTGGACAATATCAATATTAATTGAATGGTTCAAAACATTCTAATATGTCATTTGGGTTTTTATACCAATAACTCAATATCGATACTCCTTCATTAGTATCAATATTAGTGTATTTGTACTTGTGGATTGTATATTCATACTCCTTAGCTGATTATCTATACTCCCTAATGTTAAAAGATTGAAAACATCTCCTATTCTATCCAAATATTTATGAGTTGTTATGAAATGAATAGATAAGATTAATAAGGGGTCTTAATTAATGAAATAACTAAAATACTCTTAAGTGGTGTAAAATATTAAGACACTCCTAAAACAATTAAATGAAAATATTAATCATACTTCACACATAATCATATTCTCGAACCTAATTTTTTATTAACTAAATATATCCAGTTTCTAATTAAAAATTCATTCTGATTAACCAATAACCAGTTGGTCTAGTGGGGTGAGACATTTAACTCCTTAAGTAAGACCAGGAGTTTGAATTTTGATATTTGCGAATAGAGTAAATTGGCTTGAAGGGCCACCCTCGTCTTTCTAGTACCCAATTCGAATTAAAAATTCATTCCGATTAACCATACCTAACATTTAGTTTTTATTTCATTCTAGTACCTACTATTAAAAACTTAATGCATTTAGTACCTAAATTATCAGTTTTGGTCCATTTTAGTACCTAAACTTTCAATTATTTTTTCAAAACTTGACGTTAAATTTTGAGTAGGTACTAAAATGCAATAAAAACTAAACTTTAAGTATGATTTTACAAAAATTAAAAGTCCGGGTATTAAAATAGACCAAAATTGATAGTTTAGGTACTAAACACATAATTTATCCTATAATTTTTGGTGATTTAATCACATGAAAAAAGATTAATATTGATTCCGTGCCTAGCGGTCAAAACTGATACGACATAGTTTTCCTTAATGTTCTTTTGTGGTGAATCGTTGATTGTTTTATATAGTTGCTAATAAAGTATTTAAAGGAAATACAAAATGTCTAATGATGTGTTGTTAGTTCAAGTAAATTACGATAAAATAATGCTGTCTCTGCTTAAACTTTGAAAAATATTATTGAAAAGACCTCGGAATCTTGTTGAAGATTGGCCTTATTTTGTATGAATTAGCATAAAAGTCAGAATAAGCCAAGATGTAATTTATTACTCCATTATTGTTGATTATATTAATTAATAAAGGGTTTTCCATTTTTAATATCTGCATATCTCACACTAAAATCAAAACAATAATTCTTTCTTTAAAGCAAACTTATCAACTTGTTTTGGTTTTGGATTGAGTGCTTGAGGCCGTGAACGATGAAAATGGATACACGTTTCATGCATTTAATTCTTTAAACTTTGTTTATAATATCTCGTGTTTGTTTATAAGTAACTTATCAATTGGTCACACTAAGATGTGTGCGTTGTCAATAATTAATAAAGATGTAATGCATAATAACATGTAAACGTGCAAGGAACAACCCAAATGTTGTCTTATTACAAGGAGTTGAAGCGTAAAGTTTAGTAAATTAAAAAACAAAAATTTGCAGTGCTTATTGTTGCAGAAGTTGTCTAAGGATGTTGACATTGGTGCCACTGTTTTTGTTTAGAGAAGCCATTAACTCTGATATTCGAATACTTAAAGCATCAACCTCTCCATTAAGTTTCTTAATATGACTGCAAATCTCTTCTAATAGCTACAAATATAACAACCAAGAGAGACAATGTTCAGAGATTAGGATTAGAATCGTGCTCAACTTTAAACAAACAATCACAGCTCGACTCAAATTTACCTTAAATAAATAACAGTTCAAAATCGGAAAACTAGTTGATTAAGTTTTAAAATCTCACCTTATTTGCATTTCTTTTCTTATTGATGTCAGTTGATAACAGCTCTTGAAGTTGAAGGCAAAAATCTTCATTTCTTTTGGAAGACATGGTTGGGAGGTGTTTGGTTTTAGATTTTGCAAAGATGTAATGGAAATAGCAAATGTAGTGTGTGTGTTTTATAGAGGGTATAGCATGGTGGGCTGTTATTTGGTGGGGAGCATATCGACCAAGATATCTTGAGGAATGGGTCAGGGCCCATTTGTCCATAAACTGCTGGACCAGTTTGTTCCCTTTTCAATTATTTTATTAGGGCTTTTTGGGATTCAACAATATTCTTACATGCTTATGCAGTTGACCTAATTATGGGACTTGATTATGTTATTTAGCAATAATACAACGTTATCCTACTTAGTTTTATTTTCTAAGTAATATCTAAGTGACTCATAATCTTTTATAAATTAGCAATAATACAATGTTATCATGCCTTTAAAAATGACAGTTAATACATGCTATCCTTTTTGAGCTGTCAATTTAAATGGTGAAAATCCCCTTTGCTGGCAAAGAGGAAAAGGAAATTAGTAATTACATGGAAAACATTAACCTTGAGTTTGTTGTTGGGATCAAAAGAAAATAAGAAATTAGAAGTGGGTATAGTATTATATGGTATGTATGTAGTAATTGATGAGGGAGGTGTGGGTATCAATGTAAGTATTATTTGAGACAACAAATGACTTGGAAGGATTGCTTTTGTCTGGCCATTGTTTTGCCAAAACATGTTTCTTGTAAACGGTTCATAAAAATTAGTTTAATTGAAAAATAAGTAGTCAAATTACAGTTTTGTTTGTTTTAGTTGTTTATTTCTTTTAAAGTAAATTGCATGTTTAACATTTATTTTGTTATCAATTGTTGAGCTCATTCTAATTCAGGTATGGATATCATAATAAACGTTATTACAGTCATTGTAAGTATCGTAATCGTATAATAATAATTTCAAATGATATTATTATTATATAATGTCGTTATTCCGATAACAGACATCTATTTAAATCACTGAAGACCAAATAATTCCATTGGTTGCAGACTCTACACCATTCTAGCTTAGTACTCATCCCCTTCACTAGATTCCAGCCCAACTTGTTGATAATCATTCTAGTACTCATCCCCTTCACTAGATTCCAGCCTAACTTGTTGATAATCATTCTTAAGAGCAACCAAATCTTCTCTAGCTTCCTCCATTTCCTCACCAACATACCAAATGCACGCTTGGCATACATCAGATCAACCTTGTGATCGATCCCTCAAGAACACTTCGGCAACACTTGTTGAGTTCGAAATCATGCAAACCGCCCTTTGAACCTTGGCCAAGTCCCCACCTGGAACCACTGTGGTCGGGGACTGGTAGTTGATGCCGCACTTGAACCCAGTGGGGGCACCAACGACAAACTGGATGGTCCTTTTGGTCTTGATTGTTGCCACTGCAGCGTTTACATTTTTAGGCACCACATCACCCTAAATCAAGCAGCAGGCCATGTATTTCCATCATCGAAGATGGGTCGAATGCGCTGTTTGTGATTTCGGCTCGTGGTAGGCCTTTCCGGCAGAAATCACCGGTGCATTTGATGACAACTTGAAATGGATTCTGGGGGTATGGGACTAAATTGGTCTAGAATTCAGTCACATCCACCTTCAAAGCACCCATCAAATCTCAAAGAGGCAGTCAGGGAAGAAATTGCCTGTAATTCAAAGAACAATTAATGCAAACTATCAAAACAATCTTTGGTTGAGAAAATCCCAAATGTGGCACCTGAGAAACCAGCCTGTTGAGATTACTGTAAGTAGGTCTCTTGATGTCGAGAGATCATGGGCAAATATCATAGATAGCTTCATTATCGAGGAGAACTGCAGCATCAGTGTGCTTCAGGAGAGAATTAGTATTTAAAACATTATTAAAAGGCTCCAAGACAGATGTGGATAAAGGTAAACAGTGAAACTCAGTTTCGAATACATATTTTATGTTAGAAAGGATGGATTTTTAAAATTTATAAAATCAAAAATATATTGTAAATAAAAAATATAAAAAAAAAGTTCAAATACATAATAATAATAATAATAATAATAATAATTTGAAATTTTTAGCCACTTCCTTGCTCCATTCCTAACAACGATGAACATAAGAAACCCTTAAGCCAAGTGCAGTTATCTGCTAGCTTCCTGATCCTATCAAGGCAGAGATCCACTACTTCCTTCCCAACTGCAACAAACAAAGCTTAGTATAGAGCACTGACAGTGGATTCAACGGGACAATAATCTTGACAACTTGGAAATCATTTTTTTGCTTACTAGTATGATGGCTTCTATGGGTTAACTATATAAATGGTAAATGATGTTTAAGAAAGATTTTGTTTCATCTATTATTGTTTTCAAATTAACGATTTGATCACTAATGTTATAAATCTAGAATAAACCGGTCATTTACTAATATAATGGAATGTTAATCTGATATGTTAAACCAGCTGATCTGACACCGTTTAATCATGCGGAACAACCATTTTAACTTACAGTTTGACTATCCTCTCTTATATTAGCTGGTGTTCATTCAAGGGTGTTCAATAAAAAAATCATATCTATTATAGTTCAAGCCTTACCTCCAAAAATCATTAGAGAATGTAAGGTGATCTGTCGTGCAAGCACCTTGATGAAGAGAGCTTCCTCTGGGATTAAACCAGTCAACTTAAAGAAACGAATTTGACATTTTAAAGAAGCTTGAATTCTTGATTTCATAAGCAAAAAAGATTAAAGATTTCAACTAGAAAAAGAAAAAAAAATACTAAACACTCGTATACTAAAAAGAAACAGTTTGTAATGGGAAAATACTCGATTCCTCTCACTCTCTCTCACTTTCGCTTCTTTTCTCTTAAAAAACCCTAAGATTAATGAAGGATCATTCGATCATTTATAATGATTTGAAATATGTAAATATATCATACCAAAGTGAAAATGAAAGGGAAACGAGAAATGGTATACCTGAGAGTAGAGGCAGTTGCATAGTTTTTCGTTGGTAATTGCAGTGTGTGGTAGCAGAACTGAAGATTAATGGAACATCAATTATCAAAAGGTAAACTATACCTATGAGCCACATAAACACTGAACCGGATAAATCTGATCATGCCTGCTACTCATGTTTTGGGATGTTCGACAAATGAACTCCTCAAGCACATGAGCTGCTCGGATTTTCAAATCCATTATGTTTGCGGACAAACTCTTTTAGAGCTTGTACTGTGGATCTAAACCCTTTGATTGTTTCTCAAAGTGCATACATTAAGCATCTACTTCTATATGTTCATATGCAAACTTTTTTTTTGAGGTATTACAATTGACCTAAAGTAGATTCGTTCATCATTCACCTTCTACAAACCCAAACTTCCGACCAAGTCAATCCTTACAACATCCTTTGCTTCGGGAATTCCGGCGCTAGTAATTCCATAAATTGCTTTATCAATACTGCTGACATCCGAGATCAAAAAGTAAAAGTATTACTTTATAAAAAAAAACTACACTTTTTTTTTGGTTATCTTCGTCCCATAATTTCCACAATTAAAGAATCTCCTCCTGTATTATTCGTTCGTCTAAGCAATGTGAGAAAGCAGCCATGGAGGCTGTGAATGATGAAAGGGTCAGTGGTCTGAGGTAACAGACGCGGAGAACAAAACGTAAAGAGAGAGATGACATAAATTTTCTATTGAATATTGAATAAACTCTGTTTCAACCTCATAAAAAGTAATGGATTATATAGCCCAAGTAACCAACAAATCATAACAAACTAAGTCCTAACTAATAACAAATACTAACTAATCTTATTAATATTCTAATATTCACCCGACTTCTTCAACCTTCTTGATGAAAAGACGAACGCTTGAAACGAAAGTGCGATACATACTTCCGTTCGACTTGAATCAGAAGTGTCGATGCTTCCTTCCGTTCGACTTGAATCGGAAGTATCGATGCTTCATTCCTTTCGACTTGAATCGTAAGTACCGATGCTTCATTCCTTTCGACTTGAATCGTAAGTACCGATGGTTCATTCCTTTCGACTTGAATCGGAAGTACCGATGCTTCATTCCTTTCGACTTGAATCGGAAGTACCGATGCTTCCTTCCGTTCGACTTGAATCGAAAGTGCCGATGCTTCCTTCCGTTCGACTTAAATCGGAAGTACCGATGCTTTCTTTCGTTCTTCTTAATCACAATATGAACCAATAACACGAGAAATAGTGAACCAAAGCAACCAAATTCTAAGTAAAACAACATCTAAAACAAAACAAAAATTGACATCTGCAACAAACTCCATTGAAAACCATTCTGTTGCATATGCAAACTATGCCAAAGTGCAGAAGTCTTAGCACTGGTACAAGCAGCAAACATTCTATTAACAGTGTTCCAAATGGCCTTTGTGGTATGACAACTAGCAAGATGTACAAGAACCTCTGCACTCACTGTAGACAACAACCAAGAAGTAAGCAATTTGTCCTGCCTGTGATACGCAACAAAATCAGGATTCTGAACTGTTGTTCCTAAGTTGGATTGAATAAATTGAGTAGAAGCCGACTCGCCTTTAGAAATAAACCTCAGCCGCCCATAACCATCAATAATCAACATGACTTGCCAAAGAACAAAGGTAGAATCGGCTAGCTTCACATCATCAAGTTTTGGAATATGTTGAATCGTCATATTAGAGATGCTTGGGGAGGTAGTGTCAATAAAACTTGTCTGAGTATCGAGAGTCATTCTTGAGAACAGCACCGGTCAGGTAATTCAAGAAACAAGTTGTGCGTAGCAATGGAAGAAAACTCGCAAACACAAAATAACGCAATCTCAAAGATAATCCAGCACAGATCACTAGTTTACCCTTCTAGCAATGAGTAATCATGAATATACATTCGAATGATCACAAAACGGATAAATCTTATCGAGATCGAAGCAAAGATTGGAATCAAAGAATGCACAAATCAATTAGAAAGATGTTATCAGGAGCCAAGAACAAACAAAGAGCATTGCAAACACATAGCGGAGGTAATGACGGCCGGATCTTTGGCAAATGATATCATGCGAGAAAGCGCCATGGAGGCT